GAAATTTGTCGTTTTATTTTGATATTGAATCAACAATCTTCTGTACCAGCTTAATATGCAGAGACTACAAGCAGTTGAAAGCAATTGAAAAGTAGATATTGTAAAATCTAAAAAAGTTTAAATATTGTGGCACCACACATAGAAAATGTTGCCATATTTTATTTAAAATTAATGTGCATGTCAGTATACTTTAAATAACAAGTATTATATTAGTAGAATGTAATATTGTAATATGTGGAATAATAACATAAAAAGTACAATGAAAATTAATATTACATTACGCTATCAATAATTCATCATATATATATATATCACCACACCACTGAAATTACGTAAATTATAAGTAAATTACGTTAGAAGTATATTACTACTGATAATATACACATTATAACAGCGTAAGTGTACTATAAAAGTATATTACTATATTAAATATTGCACCTATATATATTAGGCTTGCCGCGATAGACTGTGCTGACGGTGATACCGGTGTTAAGCCTCAACACCGGTTACGTCACTTGCCCACCGCGGCACCGACCCCCACCGTCATAAGATTTTTTTATAGTAATAAAAATCATTTAGTTCAGTAAAAGAACAGACACTACAATTGAAAACTGAACACGGCTGCTCAATGTAGCGTGCCGAACGACAGTCGCATCACAGATCAGATTTCATTTCTCCAGTGAGGAGAGTGAGTCGAGCTGACTGACAAGAAGAGTGGGGTGAGACAGACAAGACGATCGCGGATGATTTAGTTTCGAAACGAGATGCAAAAGTGCCTGTTTGGCAATATTTTAGATTTTGAAAAGCCTGTTGAATTTTGCCGTTTATCTAAGGTTTTTTTAAATTTTATATTAGGCATAGCCTGCCCTATAGCATGGTGTATTTTTTTATTTTTAACCGGTGGGAAAATTTCCTCACCATCACAACCCTAATATATACAGTATATGATCACACATTAGTGTCCAATTCTCACTATTAAGTAACTATTAACTCTATTTAAACTTTATGCAAGTTATTTGTTATTTTATACTAGGCATAGCCTGCCCTATAGCATGGTGTATTTTTTTTATTTTTAACCGGTGGGAAAATTTCCTCACCATCACAACCCTAATATATACAGTATATGATCACACATTAGTGTCCAATTCTCACTATTAAGTAACTATTAACTCCAACCTCAAACTCCTAATTTGCTGCGTATTAATAGTTAGTAAGGTAGTTGTTAAGTTTAGATATGGGGTAAGATTAAGGGAAAATATTGTCACACAGAATAAGGCATTAATATGTGCTTTAAAAGTACTACTAAAAAAATGCAAGTAATATGCATTCTAATAAGCAACTAGTTAATAGTGAGATTTGGACCTTAAACTAAAGTGTTAGCATATTGTACACACACCTTTTTGTTATTTTTGTAAGATAAATCTGATTACAGTGACAATAGTAGAGATCCACTGCTAGCGTATCCATTTTCAACTTCTGACAATAATGATTTGTTAATCAATGTGACACTAGACCTTCCCCCGGTAACACAACATAGATTTGAGCTGGTCTAGCGGTTCCTGGAAGAATGAGATAATGGAAGACAGAGTTGAGCATTGGGACTATAATTCTTTTTTCTGGATGATACACGCTGTCATTTTCTATCTGCAGAGTTTCATAATCAGCAGGAAATGATATCCTGGACAATAGTGCAAGCTGGAATGATTGCTGGAGTGTTCCGTTAGGACATAGAAATATGTACCATTATCTTTGTCAGCCCTTTTTCACTGCTGATCAGTGCATGTGCGTGAGCTCTGAAGACACATGAGCACATCATTCCTGTCTAAAGGGGAGAATGTGTGCAGGCCTCGTTCTAAAGGCCATATCATTCACAAACGCACTTCACAGTGCTCCCAAATTCAATCATTTCAGACACTATGTGACATATCTCATTCCCCAAAGCTTGAGAGATACGCTGTACAAGTCGACCAGAAAGCCTCAAAATACACTGCAGAAAAGGCTTTCAAATATAAAACAAGCTACAGGAAACCACCATTTGATTAGAAACAAAGAGAAACACAATCGCACGACTTTGTAAATCTTGAATAAGCCTTTCGGGATGCTAAAAAAACTGAGATCTGTACTTTCTAAAAGAGAAAGAAAGAGAAAATCGAAGAGGGGAACATTTGTATTCTGATCATGCTAAATACAGTGAAATGAAAATCTCTAGCAGGAGTGTGTAGTGGAATATAAGTATAGAAAATTAAGATAAAAAAAATTAAGTGTATTTAATCTCCATTTAAATCAAAACATGCACTATTGTTGTTCTACTTGTCAATGCAATACGCTGACTGATAGGGTGTCATTACATTTGTTAGCATTAAAGACACGATTCACTTAAAAGAATAGTTCACCCAAAAATGAAATTTTGCTGAAAATGTACTCACCCTCAGGCCATCCAAGAGTGGATTCATTTGTTTCTTCATCAGAACAGATTTGGAGAAATTTAGCATTACATCACTTGTTCACCAATGGATCCTCTGCAGTGAATGGGTGCCGTCAGAATGAGAGTTCAAACAGCTTTTTTTATTTTTAACCGGTGGGAAAATTTCCTCACCATCACAACCCTAATATATACAGTATATGATCACACATTAGTGTCCAATTCTCACTATTAAGTAACTATTAACTCCAACCTCAAACTCCTAATTTGCTGCGTATTAATAGTTAGTAAGGTAGTTGTTAAGTTTAGATATGGGGTAAGATTAAGGGAAAATATTGTCACACAGAATAAGGCATTAATATGTGCTTTAAAAGTACTACTAAAAAAATGCAAGTAATATGCATTCTAATAAGCAACTAGTTAATAGTGAGATTTGGACCTTAAACTAAAGTGTTAGCATATTGTACACACACCTTTTTGTTATTTTTGTAAGATAAATCTGATTACAGTGACAATAGTAGAGATCCACTGCTAGCGTATCCATTTTCAACTTCTGACAATAATGATTTGTTAATCAATGTGACACTAGACCTTCCCCCGGTAACACAACATAGATTTTAGCTGGTCTAGCGGTTCCTGGAAGAATGAGATAATGGAAGACAGAGTCGAGCATTGGGACTATAATTCTTTTTTCTGGATGATACACGCTGTCATTTTCTATCTGCAGAGTTTCATAATCAGCAGGAAATGATATCCTGGACAATAGTGCAAGCTGGAATGATTGCTGGAGTGTTCCGTTAGGACATAGAAATATGTACCATTATCTTTGTCAGCCCTTTTTCACTGCTGATCAGTGCATGTGCGTGAGCTCTGAAGACACATGAGCACATCATTCCTGTCTAAAGGGGAGAATGTGTGCAGGCCTCGTTCTAAAGGCCATATCATTCACAAACGCACTTCACAGTGCTCCCAAATTCAATCATTTCAGACACTATGTGACATATCTCATTCCCCAAAGCTTGAGAGATACGCTGTACAAGTCGACCAGAAAGCCTCAAAATACACTGCAGAAAAGGCTTTCAAATATAAAACAAGCTACAGGAAACCACCATTTGATTAGAAACAAAGAGAAACACAATCGCACGACTTTGTAAATCTTGAATAAGCCTTTCGGGATGCTAAAAAAACTGAGATCTGTACTTTCTAAAAGAGAAAGAAAGAGAAAATCGAAGAGGGGAACATTTGTATTCTGATCATGCTAAATACAGTGAAATGAAAATCTCTAGCAGGAGTGTGTAGTGGAATATAAGTATAGAAAATTAAGATAAAAAAAATTAAGTGTTTAGAAACAAAGAGAAACACAATCGCACGACTTTGTAAATCTTGAATAAGCCTTTCGGGATGCTAAAAAAACTGAGATCTGTACTTTCTAAAAGAGAAAGAAAGAGAAAATCGAAGAGGGGAACATTTGTATTCTGATCATGCTAAATACAGTGAAATGAAAATCTCTAGCAGGAGTGTGTAGTGGAATATAAGTATAGAAAATTAAGATAAAATTTTTTTTAAATTTAATCTCCATTTAAATCAAAACATGCACTATTGTTGTTCTACTTGTCAATGCAATACGCTGACTGATAGGGTGTCATTACATTTGTTAGCATTAAAGACACGATTCACTTAAAAGAATAGTTCACCCAAAAATGAAATTTTGCTGAAAATGTACTCACCCTCAGGCCATCCAAGAGTGGATTCATTTGTTTCTTCATCAGAACAGATTTGGAGAAATTTAGCATTACATCACTTGTTCACCAATGGATCCTCTGCAGTGAATGGGTGCCGTCAGAATGAGAGTTCAAACAGCTGATAAAAACATTGGGTAATCAAGTAATCCACATTACTCTAGTCCATCAATTTATGCCTTGTAAAGCGAAAAGCTGCATGTTTGTAATGAACAAATTCATCAATAAAACATTTTCAATTTTAAACCATTGCTTCCTTTTAAATTTACGTTTATGAGTCCTCTATTCATAATATTGCTTTCTCCAGTGGAAAAGTTGTTTCATCTGAATCAGGGGAGAAATATGCACAGATCGAGCATTGCTTATAAGTGTAAAACATTCCAAAATAAATATGTCACTGGACTTTGATGTGAGAGGACAATAGGGGATGGACTGTTTCACTGAAGGAAGCGTTACTCTTGTGTTTTGGCCAGAAGCAACTGTTTAAAATTAAAACGCTTAAATGATGGATTTGTTTCTATCAAACACTCAGCTTTTCACTGATGGACTGGAGTCATGTTGATTTTTTTTGTGGATTACTGTGTATTTATCAGCTGTTTGTTTCTCATTCTGACGGCACCCATTCACTGCAGAGGATCCACTGGTGAGCAAGTGATCTAATGCTAAATTTCTTGAAATATGTTCTGATGAAGAAACAAACTCATCTACATCTCGGATGACCTGAGGATGAGTAAACTGTCAGCAATTTTCACTTTTGGGTGAATTATTCCTTTAACTTTTCATTATAAACACAATTTCTTGTTTGTCTGTTCATACATGAACAAAACTTATTTTACAAGTACTTGAAGTATTTTTTTCCTTCTCTACTTACAGGGTCCATTGCAAGATGCTCCTATATCAAGTACCACTACTCCTCGGCCACAATACCCAAGAATCTCTCTTACAACATCACCAAGACCATACGTCAGGATGAGTGGCACTCTCTGCGTGAGTAACTTTCATTCATAATTATACAGTGGGACCTCAACATTCTGTGCTCTAAACAATTAAAGCATTAATATGTCTGCCATGCTAGCTTGACTAAGTTACATTTATAACACGAATCAGTGTATAGTTTATCCTTTAGTCCCAAGACAAGCACTTTGTAAACCGTACAAACAGTAATCATCCCTGACCTACTGAACTCATTTACTCAGACATAGTAACTTGCTAAGGTCAAGTCAAAGCCAGATATAGAAGTTTCATTAATTTATTTCAGGCAAGCTCTCGGTAGACCTAAAGATATAGATGAGGTGATTTGTTGTTGGTTTGTGGAAGGAGGAAGTAGGGTACATATCTCAAAGTCAGATGTACCTCATAGACCCACTTTTGCTCGGTTCCCACCCTCCCCATAAAAGAAAATTATGAAGATGCTTATTATAGAGAAGTGGTGGAAAAAATGCACTAATACAGAGAGTGGGCCATTAGTGTGCAATCTGACCCGCAGAAAACTCAGCAAAAACTGTAAAGCCCATTATTCAGAAATGTTTACATATGCAACCCCTTGATGGTTTGTTTATTAAATATTTGTGATACCTGCTATTTATAAATCCATACTGCTCATAAAAATAAAAAAATTAAATATTACACAAATAGTTCACAAAATATTTCTGTTTTTAAAAGCAGTGTGTGTATATAAAATAAAAAAGTACTATTAAAATATATTATAAAATAAATAGTACACATCAAGAGTTTAATATTAATTAAATGCATAGTAATCAGTTACTTTAGTTTTGTTTTGCATTTATCTTGCCTGATTGAATTGGTTTACTCCAGTCTTTATTATTATAAATGTTAAAAATGATTGTGCTGCTTAATATCTTTATGGCAATCATTTTTGATGAACAGAAAGTTCAAAAGAACATCACATATTTAAAATTGAAATATTCTGTAATGTTGTAATGTCTATACTGTCACTTTTGATACATTTAATGTGTCCTTGCGGAATAAAGGTAAATTAAAGTTTAGCTTGGGGAACAAATTTTCATTAAAAACAGGACTTGAGGAAGCATGCAATACAACAAGCTTGTCTAAATATGGCTCTTCTGCGTGAACCGCACAACAACAGAGCTTCTCCTTTCTGGCTGACGTCCACAGTTGTGACACTGGTTTTCACTACAGTTTACAAAATGTACACTGAGTGGGGAGCGTGTAAATCTACACAAAAGGCCTTCTCCTTTGAGGGTATTGGCTTGTTTGAAACCCTCTTAAGGGAGGAGACTGTGGTTTGGAGCTGTTGTGTATCACAGACAGAAGAAAGAGCAGGATACAGCATGCCCTCAAACTGTCATGTGGTCACACTCTAATGCGCTGAGGAGATCCACCTCTGTCAGGTGACTGAAGAGACACCTCTCCTTTAACCCCCAAACCCACCAGTCTCTACACCTCCATCACTCTTTTTCCTCGTTTTCCAAAGCTTCAACAAGGAGGGTTATGAAACCAGAGATGCATAAATGACACTGCAGGAAAAAGAGAGCTCAGCGCAGTCGAGTGCGACAGATGAAAGATCTCTGTGGCACCAAACATCTCTTACGGTTTCTATTTTGTGCTCAATATCTGGTTCATGTGAACTTATAATCCTGTAAATTTACGTTTTGATATCAAAAATTGACGCCAGCAGACTAATTTTAAATCTTGCAGACGGAGTTTGTTAAAAGTTCAAATCTGAGCCGATAACATATTATATGAGCCATTTATCGGTTATCAGCCATAGCACAATACAACCAATAAATGGCTGATATTTAAATTCAATACAATTTTCTCTAAATTAACTGAAAATAAACCACTAAAAACCAAAATCAATTGTTTTAATTATAAATGAATGAATTATTGAATGAATGAATGAACAGTACCATTCAAAAGTTTGGGGTTGATTAGATTTTTTTGATTAGAAGTCTCTTATGCCCATCATGGCTGCATTTATTTGATAATAATAATAATCAAATACAATAAAAACAATAATATTGTGAAATTTTTCAGGATTCTTTGATGAACATATTTCAAAAGAACAGTGTCTACACTTTGACCAATTTAATGCATCCTTGATATATTTTTGTAAAAAAATGGACTGATCCCAACATTTATATACACCTTGTATATTACATAATAGTATATAAGGTATATAAGGTAATCATAAAGGAAATAAGCATACACAATTAAACATCCAATATCAAGAGACACCAATAAATAAAAAATTTTTCAAAATTTCAAATTTTCAATAGTTAAATTTTAAAAAACGGTTGATAACCAATGTGATACAAATATATTGTGCTGTGCATATCTAGTTAAAATACTTGATCTTAGAGTCTCCCGGTATGTATTTAATAAGTTATTTGTCATTTGATCCAAGCATTTTGACCTATACTATAAAGAAAGATGTGGAAGGGTCAATTTCTCGGATAAGGTCAGGCTGAGATGTTTAATGTTCTTATTACGGCTTACACAGCTGCTCCAACAAATCAAGCAGTCAGATGACGTCCTTTCCTGTGGCGAGAGAACCCTAAATGTACTCCATTTAGTGCCATATTGATTTTGGGGATGCCAGGAGAGGTCAGGAGATCAAGAACTCTCCATTAGTGGACATTGAGAAGTAAATGACTCTAGTACTGTCTGGGAAATGTGTCTGAAACTGGGTAACACTGTCAAAAAAGGCCCAAAAAGAATCCCTAGATGTCTCAACCGGCCACTGATGAAGGTGTGAAATCAAAGCTTGTGTTTGGTTGTGATGTCTAGAATCAACAGAACAGGTAACGCTCAAGCGTCACGGGCAGCTTGTGTTGTTTTTGCTTGTGTCTCGCTCGGATGAGAACCGAGACCTGACATTTCATAAAGTGTGTGAAATTGAACAAAGGGAGGTTAGAACATTCCCTGCTCTCTCATAAGGCTTATCTGCTCGCGAGTGACATCAGCAAAACTTCAGAAGGCTGTGGGATATACACAACACTCATTTGTACTTGTCAGTCAACACACCAGGAAACCGACTATATAAAGCAAGAAAGTCACAAAAGACGATGCAACTTCTATTATACGAAATATGAAAGCAAAAGATGAGACTCCACAGAAGCCAAAATCACTTGTTTTTACCGATGGACAGCATATTCAGCTCAAAACTGTGAATGTTTTTGGCATTTCGGCTTTGGATGAAGACGGCTTGGTTCAGTAACTTCAGCAGCTTAGGGATTTTGTAAGATCAAAAGGAAGCACCAAAAATGAGCAGCAGGAAGCTGTCAATGAACATGACAGGAAATAATCTGCCGTGATGCGTAAAGGTGCCCAAAGAGGCGAATTATGATCTTGGTTTCCAAATCCTCCAGATCTCGGTGCACTCAATCAGAAAATGCTTAGTGCTTCAGAGACCCAAGAGAGTCAAGTATTGGATTTAAAAAGTAAAAGAAAAGAAGAAGAAAAAGAAGAAAGAAAAAGGATTTTTATAAAGCTAGTCTATTATTATTAGGGTCAATCAATAAAAAATTTATTGATTTAATCAAATCAATTACATGATATACTTAATCATATGCATTACAATTAAACACACATCATGCAATTAATCACATATGTAAATATTTTTAAACAACATTTATTTTAATTACATGAGTACATTAATTATTTCATGTAATTTATTTATATAAATGAGATGCTGATTAATCAAATTTATCACTAATATCACTCAACATTTTACAGTTACATGCCAGTTAATTACTTAAAACACAATAAGTCACATATCACATAATCACATAAATCAGATCAAATGGTATTTTATTTAAATAACATTAATTTAAAAACATTAATCAGATTCATTACATGATATGCAGTTAATTTAGTTAATTTGATAAATATGATTCATTTATCAAAAATCACATATATTGGTACATCATTAGCTGAGAAAAGCCCCAGATGAATATTAAACAATATTATATTATAGTGGCAGAAAAAAGTATTTTAATACTTGACAGCTCATATTCTTTAAAGCTACATACTTAAGCTGCTTCTTATGCAAAACGGTAGTTGTTAGCTTGATGATTGTTGTCTTGGGACCCTGCTAAAAACAGGACCTGTAATGACATACTAACATCCTAAGCGGTAATTTAGTCTTTACCCCAGAGTGGGATACGCAGAGGAAATGAATTGTTAAGAGTAATTAACTGTCACTGCTGTAATCAGACACTATTAAGGTGGGATGGAGCAATTTGTATCATCTCTGTACTTACATTTAAACTGCTTCAGCATTAACTTTTATTGTATTTATTGTACTTAGTGGACTTTTAATGTGTCCACCACAACACAGCATTGGGCTCTCTGCACACTGCTGATTTAATCTCCTCTAGAGAAGACATTTCCATGTGTCTAGGCAATAATAAATGCACATTGGAAATGGTGTCATCATGCAAACCATCTGGGCCTGACATGAACAAGGACGCCATTACAGCACACACCAGAGGAGCGGAGGGGAGCAGCTGAGGAATCTCTCAACTGTGATTTGGCATTTTGACATCCATGATCATTATATTTTCTTTCAAAAGCTGAGAGACCTTTTCCTCCGTGGTAGGTGAACCATCAATAGCCATTCTGACAGGTAGAGACTCTTTTGTTGACCTCTTTCATTCAGCATTCGAGGAGCTGAGATGCACCAAATAACAGTATATGTAATTGCATGTTGACAGAGCAGAGGATGAAGTCAACATGAAACTAAATTTGTGACATATTTCACTTCTGTAATATTCAATGGAATATGAACTTTTTGTCCATTAATTGGATTGTGAGAAGTGGTCTCTATATGACAAATGGGCTTGAAATGCAAGAGGGTTTCAGATGTATTTTTCTTTAGACTATGATCTTTTACACGAAAGCAGATAGGGTAAATTTTGATTTCGTGTTGACTTAAAAAAAAAAAATAAAAAAGTCTTAATTATAAGATTATTCAATCCCAGGCTCATTGGAAATATATGCTT